AAAAAAAAAAAAAAAAAAAAAAAAGCCAAAGAGAAACGATCCCCTTTGGCTTAAACTCCGTTTTTTAACGCGACCGAACAGAAAGATGAAAAAAATAACTTTGAACGTTAATTAAATAACACTTAACCATTTCCACGAGGATACAAAATTTTCAGAATCTAACGATGAATCGATGAATGTATGCATACAATTAAGTTAAGGGAGGAAGAACGTAGGAACGTTTAATACACTTATTTCGTTCCCTCGTCGTCATATTAAAAATTCATTAATACTAAGTTAAAGTAATTGTTTCCCCTGTCATAGAAGTTAATATAAACTATGTATAATTCATGCGGGCTTAAACAGTTTTGATTCCAAACGAAATTCGATCGATGAACTTCGTTTAAAATTTAAATAAGGGGAGACTTAAAGGGAAAGAATTAAAGAGCGCCTCGTTCCGTGAAATTCAATGGTGTTATGGACAGAATTTTGAATAAATTCTCTCTCTAACGCGAATTCGATTCGTTGAAAAGGGGAAATAATAAAATGATTTCTCGAAAAAAAAAAATATATATATTTACACGTGTACTCCTCCTTCAATTTTACGAGTCAAACGTTATTATTGTATCATTTCGTTCCGTGCCTCGAAACGTATCAAACTTTTCTTTTGTCTTATTTCTTTAATTAATCTAGCCAATACATACACAACGAATTCGCATCGTCACGAGATCGCCAATTTGCTAGAAACTTTTATTAGAATGGTTTATCGTGTTGGAAGAACGTGTGTCACGTTGGAAATATTCTTTTTTAGACTAAATAACGTTTCCTAATATCGACAAAAAGAACGACGGAAAAGATCGTGAACAATCGTTGAAAGGATAATAGAACAAAAAATTATCGTTTCGTATATATATATATATCTCCTTTATCGAACTTGATATAAAAGAAACGTTCGTGGAATGGAAACACTCCGTATCCCATTTCTTTGGAAATCAACGCACTTTCTCCGAATATTTGATCGACTATAACCGAAATCACGATCCCATCGTATCGTTCTTTTTTGGAGAGATCAACAACGAATAAAACGATTCCGTGGAACGAGGATCGTTCCAATCGCAAACAGGAACATAAAGCTATAACTTCATAAACGTTTCCATCGACTGGAAACCTGACGATCGTTGTGGAGAGTTGGTCGTTTCCTTTTAGCGCATAAACAGCAAGGTAAATTATTGGCACGAGAAGAAGTACGTCCGACAGAAGGATAAATAATTCACGGTAAAGATCGGTAAAGAACTGGTCTGTCAAAGGTAAAAGGAAGTAACGGCGGAAGTACTTACCGGAGATGGGATCCGCGCCATCGAGCTTCCTGTCTAAGGAGACGTTCTCGTGAACTGCTTCCTTGCTCGTCCTTGGACGACATCCAGGGTTCGATTCACCGGTACCGATCCCATCTTGGCTCTTGTGATCGTTTCTAAGATGATCGTTTCTCTCGTTCGACTTGGAAACTCCGCTACCAACCACAACCTTCGTCGACGTTTTGCTACCAATTGCCCCGGAGTTCCCGTTCAGGTTGCCGTTAATATTGATGTTGTTACCGTTCGCGGATGAATGATTGTCAGCCTGGTGAAAAATGTTGGATGTCTTCTATGGAACCTTGTCGTTACATCGCGAGAACTTTTCTATTCATCACAATAAAACATTTACAAACCAACATTTACTCGACAAAAACAAAAGAACGAAATCCTGCTAATTCTACTGCAACTAAAATGGAGGGGAGGAAAAAAAAAGAAGAAGAAGAAGAAGATCAATTTTTTTTCTCGAAGAATAACCAAGTTATCCAATAGGAAAATTCAACTCGTTCTCGTTCGAAACGTACAACGAATTAATCTACTCACCGTGGTAGTCATGCAGGTCGAGGAGGACGAGCGCACGACGACGATACGATTCTGATTGTGATCATTGGAGGCAATGGTGGACACAGCGGCGTGATTGGCGAGCCCATGGGTCTCGTGAGCGTTATTGGATCCAACATTGGAATTGGTGTTACCGGTAGTGACGTTACTACCGAGGGAAGTCTGCCTGATCACCAGAACGCTGCCAGCCGGCTCCAACACAACTACTTGCCTCATCCTCGCCACCCCCTTTTAAGTCTTTCTTGCCTGTTACTGACGAAGAAGGAGAACGTGCACAGGTTGCACGAAAGCTTCCTTGAAAACGATCCTCCTTCCTCGGCTGATCCAAGTATCCGACGGGAAACGCGTTCTCCAGCCTTCTCCACCCCTTGGTTCTTAAAGCTCCAGCGCGATTGCTGCCACCTGCTCCTCCTGTACACACGTACACCAAGATACCCGATATTAAAGCTGTCGTCTTAAAGGATGATCCTACTTTCATCCTATTCCGT